TTTAATTTTGGAAATCTTTTGTTGTTGTAGAAATTACATTTTCTGATATGCTTTGAAACCTTGCATGGAAGTCCTTGCTCATGTTCCTAAGATTGAGGTACGGAGAAACTATAGTTGTTAGTAAATTAGTTTATAGAAGAATAGATACGACCCTACCGACTGTAAATACTGTACTAGGTGCTGTCACATTAATGACTTTAAGATTTGGTTGTATCCTTCATGGAACCAATTTATAGAAAGTGAATTGTGTTATCATACCAGTGAATTTCAGCCCAACAACCGTTGTCCTGTCATTTAGGAGATAATTAGAAAACTGTAGCAACATGAAATGAGTTTTTCTTTAAATTACTGATTGTTATATTACTATGTCAAATGTGATATTGTGTTCTATTTGTATTTGATCTAATTATTTGCTGACATCCCTGAGTATGGGTTGTAGGCCTTCCCCCACTTGAGTCCAATAGAACTCTGTTGTTTGTAGCTATTCAGTATCAAAATTGAATACACACAAATATTTACAATTTTATATTTACATTTATTCTGATAAGTGGGTCTAGTTCTTATGTTTTTATACATGTATGTTATGTGTTGCTCACAAATTATCATCACTTTCTTAAAGTTAATAATGTGGAACACCCAATAGTCATAGATATCCCTTATTAGAATGTTTCTATTAAATATTCTTCTTATTGAGAAGATACATTAAAACACCAAACCTGTGCAGTTCATCTCTCAAGGACAAGCTGTGTTTCTAGTGGTAAAAAGGTATTCATAAAGTGTGGGGAGACACTTTCACCACCCTAAACATTGCTTGATTAATCTGCTATTATGTGATCTCTAATACTCTAATCAATTTTAAAAGTTAATCCATCGGTAGAAGGCTTAAGAAACTGAAAAATAATTTGATGGTCTCTATTTTTCATTTAAAAAAGTAGTAGTCTCCATAAGTTTTGAATTGTGATTTTAATTCACAAGCTGATAATGTCTTTCTCCTCACCTTGTTCTCCTGTTGAGGTGGAAGAATAAGTATTGTGGTTGGTTTGGTGTAAGCGAGCATGTAAGCTATGACAAGGTTGTCTTCCTTCCTGCATACCTGATCTGTTTGACCAGATCGCTGAATCAAACTATTTACACCATACCAGCACAAGTGAAGAAGAAGGTTTCTTCCTTTAGTACACTGACTAGAGATGTGTTTTGATTTTTGTTTTGTTTTATTTTTTTTTGTATGAGAGGTGAGGTATTGTGTCATGTATTTTATCTGTTATTAACAGTCACCTGTCATTACTAAAAGTGTAAAATTTGTCAGTCCAGTGGGGTTATCTAGTCATGTTTGATTATCAGCCAGCGAACGAACTGCCAAGTAGTTGGGATTTAAACTATCTAATGTGCTCCAATATGACATTGTTGGCTTCTACCTACTTCATTTCAATGGTTTGAATGTTTATTACAAGAAATTGATGATTGGATGTCTAAAATATTACATGACTGCGTCTTTGTACTGATGGACCAATGAAGTCTTTTAAATGAGATTTTGGCTGATTTGTTCTTCCTTTAATCTTATTTTTTGTTATTTCAATTCAGAGCCAGTCGATTAAAGTTGAAAATTAGACTAGACAGTCAATTATTTGAGTTCATTTTGATAATTATTTGAATTGTTACTGGTAAATTAAGCAAGTCTGCTTTGAGTTCATTGTCATCGTTCAAGTTGCTGTGATGAAATTCTCAAAATTGTATTGTATCACAAAAACTAAGTGATGTATTTCAACTGCGTGCGTTGTATGAATGTGTTCATTGAAGTGAAAGAAACAGTCAAAAGGGAGAAGAGAGAAACTGTGTTAATGTAAGTTACACAAATCACATGATTGCTCCAGAGAACTTGCCAACTGTTTGTGTCAAAAAAATGCAGTACCCATGAGATAAAATGGTTCTTCTACCCCTCATTTTCCATCCATAAACCACTTGCATTCTCTCTTGATCAATTTTGTTTGCAACATTCTACTATTGTTAAGAGCCCAACAGTTTCAATCCCCCTGATTCTCACAGACAAATTTTTTCTGCCATAGACTGTGGGAAAATAAAGATCTTAAAACTGCTTCTGAGCTTTCTGCATTTCTATTTACTTTTGTCAACCCATCTCCAATATGCTTATTATTTCCTTCGTCATTTCACCCTGCTCTATGGTGTGTTTGTGTATGTGTTGCTGAACTGTTACTTCGTCATTGAGTTGAAACAATTTATTTCTCTGGAACTGAGCTGTATCTTTAATACAGCTGCAAACTCCTTGTAAAGAAAAGAGTGGATGAGTTACATCTAGCTGACCTCTTTCCATTAGATATGTAATGACTGATTGAAGATCCATTGTTTTGATATAAAAGTAAATGAATAATAATAATATTAAATGAAAGTGTCAATACTTTTTAACTGAGCACACAGTCATCCTTGTTAACCGATCACATAGTCATCCTTGTTTTAAATGTAAACATCTTAACACACTCCATGGTTCTAAAGTACACCCAATTACCTTATAAAGCCTAAAAATGCTTTCTTCTTGAAAAGGTAAGTGCATTTTCATGTGCCTTTATGCTGCCAAATTATATTTTAAACTGTACAGTATATGCTTTATTACAGTTTGCAAGTTTTCCTATTCTTCATTTTGCATGTGTTCTTTATTGTATTTAAACCAGAATTGCTGTGACTGCACTGATTTTGCATGTTCATGTTCGTTCATACATTTTTATCAGAGAATTGTGTTACTGATTGAATTATTAAACCTCAATTATAAACTTTCTCTCTCTATAATGGAAACTTGTCAAAATTTTGATCATCCAGCCCAGCTAAATGATGTACCAAGTTTCAAGATCACGGGGAATTTATTTATTTAATTTTATGTGTGACTTAAGTTGGGATGTATGTAATTTGAAACGTTCAGATTAGGATGAAAATGGTGCAAGATTTTTCGTCTCTTTAAAGAATTACTAATCCAAAATTGTCCAATTCACAATTTGTTTCATATCTTCCTCATAGATTAACCCTTTTTCTTCTCTAATTTCAGGACTGTTTGCAGACCCTACATGGAAGGTTCCAACTTGAATCTGCATTAAATGTTTGGATTGTAACAACTACAGAACTGCCAGTTGTTCCTTAGGAAGGTAGCATATCTGTAATTATGTTGTAATGTCTCTTTTCATGTTCTGAATTAAACAATTATTTTAAAAGAATGTTACTGGATTGATATACTACTTGCTATATTTACTAACTGGTATACCCCTCAGAAAGCTTCAAATTGGCTTCCAAAATCTACTGAATTCAAGTTGTTTAGTAATGCAGTATTTTTTTTTTTTACGAATTTAGAAGATAATTTGTTGCCTATAGGAATGTATCCTGGTGTACTGATAGGTTCTTCATAGGCACCAAAATATTGTAACTGTTCATAACTACTATAATTAACAACATAAATCGTATTTCCAAAACCAGGCTGGACCAGTTCATGCAAAATCCCAAAGGAAGAGTGATTATTGTAATTGTTATTGTTTATTGATGTAGCTTTATGCAGAAACATCAAATGTCAAGTCAATAGCGCTGTATGGATAATGGATCTTGGAGGAGCAGCTTATATGAGAATATCACCAAAAGTTAAAGCTCCATGAGACTGTATAGTTTGTTTTGCTTTCATATCAGTGTCCTTTACCTCTGTGTGACCATATCAAGCTACTCTTCAAATTCGAGTTTCAAAATCTTTGTTTGTATTTAAAAGAGTTGGTCTTCAAAATTAATATGGAATAATTATAAATAGCAAATGTTTGTGAACCGTCCAAGGCTTAACTCCTTTCATGTACCCAAAACATAGTGCAATCCAATGGTGATGTAACAACGATGCTTCCAGAATGGCAAGATTTCATCTTTCCAACAAGAATTTGTTGTTTAATATTTTTTTAAGTGCTTTGTAGTGTTTTTTATAAATACAGACAAAGAGAACCTACCCTACCATCCATTCTCTCAAATATGAAACTCCTCCACTTTCTTCAGCATATTATTATTAAATTATTACTAATAGTTAGTATCCCTTTTGCCTCTCTTTTGGTCATAAACCAGAGTGAATTAAAACTACGAAACCTCACTAAAGTGCAAATCGTGGGGCTATGGGATCAGAGACAATAGGAGAATTCTTTGCCCACCTCTGTTGTAATAATTTAACTTGGCTGTAGAAGTTTGAATGGGAGGAGAATTCTGTGTAATAAATGTTATCTGTGGTAACTTCAAACCCAGGATTGATATTAGAATTTGTTTCAATTGAAGTATTTTTGAGAAATTGAGACTCAAATAACAATTTAATTAGAAGTAGTAAATTAACGTGTTAAATGTGCACAGAAGTACACATTGTCCTTTGGAGTACCAAATTAATAGATAAGGTACAAACATAGTTTAAACAAAATGGAAATCAAGTAAAATCCCTTGAGACTTGTTATTTCTATTTTAAAATGTTACCTGGCAGGAAAAAAATTCCTATGAAAAGTGGCTGTTATCAATGTATATATAAACTAATAAAATGAAATGAAAGAAACAATACAGAAAGCACAATAATAATTACTGCTTTACTCAACCATACATTTGTTTAAATACAAATTTGAGGACCCAACACATACTAAACCATTCTTTTGTTAAAGGAAACGTTTAAACTTGTACCGCTTAAGTTCTTAATTTAGACTAGCACCAGTACACTTGTACTGTTTGTAGCTACAGCGCTGAAGCGAGCCGGCTAAATATGGGAGAAAGATTAGAACACAGACAACAGACCTATTCTTAAATTTGTATCATCTGTTTTCAAGATCGATTCTTGATTGAGATTTTTAGAGGTAATTAACATCATAAGTAATCGACGCTCAAGAGGTACTTTGTTTCTTAT